GGCCGCAGGCTCCGGGGTCTACATCACGCGGGGCCAGCTGATGAACTGCCATCTGTGTGCGGGCGTGAAGCACAAGGTCCTGCTGCGGCGGCTCCTGGCCACCTTCTTCGACAGGTGAGTCCCGGGGCGGGCCGGGAGGGTGCAGAGGTGGATGGTGCCAGAGGCCCCGCATTCCCCTGACTTCGCGGCAGTTTGCAGGGGTCGAGCTGTAGGCTGTGCCCCCCAGAGGGCAAGCCCACCTAGATGCGGGCAGGCAGAGCTGACCCTGCTGACATTTCTCAGAGCTTGTGGACGCCTCCAGCCCGTTCCCTGCTGTGGCGTGTCCTGCACAGGCATCCACAGAGCACCCCCAGGCTGGAGCTCCCCGGCAGGGTGGGGCTCCTGGGAGCCCGTGTGTTCAGCCCCCGCCGCCTTGTGGCCTGCCCAGCCCAGGAGGGCCTTCGCTGTCCCGCCACTCAGAGTGGGGCTTTCTCCCCATCCCTGACCATGACCCCCCAGGACATCCAAACCAGACGGAAGGCCTTCCTGCAGGGGGCAGGGGGCTTCGCGCTTCGATGTCTAGGGCAGGGATGCCCCTTCCTGCCGGCCAGCAGGTCCCAGCCCCCATGGCCGCCGCCTCAGCCTCCCTCTTGGTCCCCACCAGGAACACGCTGGCCAACAGCTGCGGCACGGGCATCCGCTCCTCCACCAGCGACCCCAGCCGCAAGCCGCTCGACAGCCGTGTCCTGAATGCTGTGAAACGTAAGGGCCGGGGCTTGGGGGGTCGAGGGCTGGGAGGTTGGGGTCTCGGGGGCTGGGGCTGGGGAGTCGGGTCTCAGGGGTTGGGGTCTTGGGCTCTCTGCAGCCCCCCCGTGTGTCACACCAGGAAGTGCTCGAGCTGGGTTTGAGGGGACAAGAGAGAAAAGAGCAGTTCTTAAAATCCTGGTCTCGAGGTGTTCGTGTTTTTGGGAGGTTTCCAAGCGTGATGAATTCAGCTGTGAAACTATTTTAATATGTGAAATAGATCTAATTTTCCTTTTTGAACAAACCCCTTATTTACATTTTGAGGTTATTTTGAGCCTTTGCCATCTGCTCGGCCGCTCTGCCTCCCGCTCCTGGGTGCGCGGGGGTGGAGCGGTCCATCCCCGCGGCAGACCGCCGCCTCGCGCCCCCAGATGTGGACTGAGCAGGCCCGTGTCCGTCACAGGCCCACCTGGCCAGTGCACGTCCCCCGAGGCCGTCAGAACACAAAACGCGGTCTTACGTTCTTGCTTACTGAAGAATTTCACTTAGCTCTAATTCTGTGTTCTGGCGACCAGGAGAGTTGTGTGGTTAATTACAGGCCGCATGCTGGTGATGGCGGTGGGAAGCTGAATGCTGCCCCCTCCACCCCAGAGCGGCCGGGCTCACTGGGGTCCTGGGCTTGCTGGGGGACGTGGCCCAGGAATCCGGGAATTGATGTTATGGAGACCTGGCTCTGGCCTGTGGCTCCTGGCAGAGAAAGAGGGGGTTTGGTTAACAATGGTGCGGGCCATGGTGGCCTCATCTGTGGCTCTTCCCCGGGCTGGGGCCTGGGCAGAGTGAAGGCCTCGACTGTCTTCACTCCCCCCCCGCCCCGTGGGGAAGAGCTTGTGGTCGCACCCCATTTGCGGATGGACGTGGGTGGCCTGACCCACACAGCTGGCTGCAGGCCCCACCTTGCCTCCTCCCTCTGGGCCCCCAGATCCGCCTGGCAGGTGGGTGGGACAGAGGACTAAGGGAGGCCCAGGGTGTCCAGGTCTGCCCGCTTGGCCGTGGTCACGGGCGGTCTGAAGCCTTCCAGACCACAGCCTTGACCTGGAACATCGGGACTGGGCATCAGGGGGGGTGGCTGAATCTCGAACCTCCAGGCAAGCGGCTGCAGCCAGGCAAATCCCATGCCAGTGAGGACTAAGATGGAGGGCGGTCCTAAGGGGTCCCTGGTCCCCACCAGCCCCCAGAGTGGACACTTCAGCTCAGGAACCCTCCTACCCCAAGCTCGTCCAGGCGTCGTGACTCCCCGGCCTCTGACCCGGGCGGCCTCCGGGAGGTGGTGGGGGCAGCAGTTGCGGCATTCCTGGGGCGGGCTAGGCCCGGGGGACGGGTACCTTTGTTCAGGGTCACAGGTGGGCCCTGGGGTGGGGCTGGCCCTCACGGCCACGGACGCCGCTCTCATTGCAGTGTACTGCCAGAATTTTGCCCCGAGCTTCAAGGAGAGCGAGATGAACGTGATCGCCGCAGACATGTGCACCAACGCCCGCCGCGTCCGAAAGCGCTGGCTGCCGAAGATCAAGTCCATGCTGCCCGAGGGCGTGGAGATGTACCGCACGGTCATGGGCTCCTCGGCCGCCAGCGTGTCCCTCGACCCCGACTTCCAGCCCACCGCCGCCGCCCAGGTATTCGAGCAGCGCATCTTCGCCGAGCGCCGGGGCGACACCGCTGCCATCGTGACTCTGAGAACGGACACCGTGAATGTAGACCTGGGTGCTGCCGCTGCCGCCGCTGCCAACCCCGCCTTCGAGGCCGGCGAGGAGGCCGACGGGGCTGGCTCGGTCATCCAGGAGGTGGCCGCACCTGAGCCACTGCCCGCCGATGGCCAGAGCCCCCCCCAGCCCTTCGAGCAGGGCAGTGCCAGCTCCAGCCGGCCCGAGACGCCCGCTCGGAGACCGGAGGCGGGCAGCTACGCGGGGACTTTGTAAGAGCGAGCCAGCGAAGGAGCAAGCGGAGGAAGGTGTGGCCGCGGACCGTAGGGGTCGCGGACCGTAGGGGTCTCAGCACTAGAGCTGCTTGCATGCGTTACTAATACAGACCAATGTGATGAGCCACCCCCACTGAACTGCTACTGTTGCCTGAAAACAATGTGACTTTATTCTGCTTGTATCGAGAACTCATGAAGGAAACTATTGCATTCGTTATACTGTAAGCGATTAGGTCACTGGCGACCTAGTTGCAAGAAGGTCCCAGGGCTCCTTTTGATATTCCCCAGGTTAGTCTCCAAGCTGTAGCTTTTCCCTCCCCCCGGGGGAGGGGCCCTGGTGCCCAGCCCTGCCCTGCTCCCCCTTCCCCCTCCTCCCCTCCCTCCCCTCCCTCCCTTCTTGCCCTTCTGCCCAGGAAGATAAAGCCAGCTGCCACCAGCAGCCGGTGGTGTGGGGGGACGTTCATCATATGACCCTCTGTTCCTTACCCACGGACACCCCAGCCGCCCCTCTGGGGCCATGGAGCTGGCTGGGCCCCCAGGGGACAAACTCCTCTTGTTTTTCTTTTTTTCTGAGACTCGGGGGGTCAGGCCCACCCAGGTCCACTGCACACGTGTGCGTGTGTGAGCAGGTGTGTGTGCGTGCATGCGCGTGCTGAGAGCATACGGACATACAACGGGATGGGCATTGCCAGTCCTGGTGGTGCAGAAGGGTCCTTGGCTGCATCTCGTCCCCCCTGCCCCATGCTGTGCCCTCGCTCAGCCCGCTCCCCCCGAGCCCTCCAGGGCCGAGCTGCCCACGATCCTGGGGTGGGGGCGTCTGTGCCCTTTGGGGGAGGGTGGGGGAGGGTTGCCTCTGGTGGCAGCCTGCTGCCTCCTTGGCCACTTTGGGGTTCTGCTTGTTTGGTTTCTGGTTTTATTTTAACTGAGGTCCGTTTCATATGTTTTGGACCCAAAAGAGCAAAAGTTGAGGAGGGATGGGTATCCCTACCCCCCACCCCGAGCTAGGTCCCACTCACCTCCCACTAGGGGCAGAGGGGACCTTGAGGAAGGCTGCTTCGGGGACTGGGGCTGGGCCCTGCCGGGCGGGAAGCACAGCCTGGGCTGGGCCAGGGCTGCCATGGGGTACCCCGGTGCTGGCTCCCACACACGTGCCTTGGGGCGCCACACGCCTCTGATGGTGCCAAGGCTGTAGGTGGGAGGTGGTGTAAGGGGTACCCAGACAGCTGGGGTGGGCCCCGGGCAGGGTGAAGGGGCAGCGAGGAAGGGCCCTGGGAGGTGACCTGCCCCTCTGAGAGTCAGTCTCTGTTTTGGGGGGGCATGGGTGCGCAGGGTGTGAAGGGACGTGGCCACCTGGTTAGGGACCACCAGGCAGGCTGTCTGCTGCTTGCTCCCTGCCCTCAGCACCCTGTCTCTCCACTGCTGACGGAGCGCCCCGTTCCTCTGTCCGTCCAGTGCTCTGACCCCACGGGCCCCCATCCCTTCCGTCCACAGCCCTCCCCTCCCCCTGCTGACCAAACACTAAGGCTGTCCCTCAACTGGAGGATCGGGGGCTTGGCCCCACCATGGTGGGCCTGGGTTGGGGGAGCCTTTGGACTCTGTCCTGGCTCTTTAGCCATGCCCCCTCCCTCCAGGGGGAGGCAGGGTGGAGGAAGGGCTCCTTCCCTGACTGAGCTCTAGGCTCCCGGGCCTCCCCTAACTGTGTCGAGCACATGCCTGCCTTCCAGAAAGATCTGGTGGCTTCCAGAAAGAGGATTAGAGCAGGGGCAGGCAATGTGGGTGCTTATCTCAGCCCCTCCACCCACTCCCCCACCCGAGCCCAGCAAGCCCAGGCCCTATGTCCCTTGGGCTGAGAGTGGCTGCAGGGGGGCCTGCAGGCTCTCGCTGTGGCTAACACCTCTGGTCCAAGGGGCCTCTCTGCCTCCTCCTCCCCTGGAACCAGCCAAGGCCCAGGACAAGTCTTCCTGGGTTTGGGAGGGGCCTTGGCTGTGGCTCCGCTCTCCTGTAGCCTCAGGCAGTGGACATGACAGTGCTGGGAAGCCATACCACATCCCCCTGGAGTTTTCCTTCATCTGCTCCCCACCCCCAAATTTGCACTTTAGTTTGACCATCACTGGGGACGTTTGGGAGACGGGCTGCCTGTCCTGGCTGTTGACTGAAGGACTCCCTCCCCTCTGCTCCAAAGCGGGCACGCCTCTGGGACCTGCGGCTGGGGCAGGAGGGACCCGAGGCCGGGGCAGTGGTCACACAGAGAGGATGCCTGGCTCAGGCTAGCACAACGCCCCCAGACCTCTGTCCCTTAATCGCTTCTAGTCGTCATCATTTTGTTGTTCTGGGTAAGGAAGGCAAGAGCTGTAGGTAAAGCTGAAAAGATAATACTACTCATTAATGTGAACGGCTTGAGCTCCCCTGAGCCCCCGGCGGGCTGGGTGGAGCGTTTTGCACTAATGTGTCCCGCGGACGGACATGGGTCGTGAGCGCTGGCAGACGCGCGTGGCTGATGATTGTATCTGCGCTGGGCTCCCTCCACATCCTGAATGTACCGCGGGCGGGCAGGTGGTGGCGGGCCGGCTCGGAGGGGCCTTCCGGAGTGCCTTAGCATACTTTGATCATTTTCCCAAGGAAACCCACTTCTGGGCCTGGACCCTCCCCTCCCTTGTTTACAAGATGACCAGTTCCAGAACTGGGGCTGTCCTGTCCCATGAGGTGACCCTGGCTCACCCAGACCCTGTAGCCCGAGAGACGAGCCACTCAGTATTTATGACGTCTGCACCTTATTCCTAAGCTTGACTATTAGCAATACGCATATCATAGATAAGAGTCTATCATAGAGTTAAGTTCTATCAGCGCCTTTTCGCGAGGAGAGGACGGGACTGGCGGGCCTGGGGTGGCAGGCAGTGCGAGGGATCAAGCAGCTGCTCCCGCCCTCTCCTGGCCTCCCCAGAGCGGGGACATGGCGCAGAAGGCAGCTGGGCAGAGTGCAAAAAGTCCAGAGGAGGGACAGACGGGAGATGTGGCAGATACTGTGAGCCTGGCGGCCCGCCTGGCCGGCGCCTGGTACTTGAATTCTGTCTTGTTCTGCACTGTCTGGTCTCACCCAGAGTTCTCTGTGGTTACCCACCTTTGCGTTTGGTCGTGTGTCTTATTTTGCCCCTGAACATGGACGAAGCTGTGGATGAGAGGCCGGGAAGGAGACAGGTCTGCGGAGGGCGGTCTCTGTGGGGGTCCCCGTGTGTGGGACGGCTGCCTGGCTGGGGCTTGAGGAAGTAAGAGCTGGCTGCCTGGTTTTCTTTGGCCTCCACGGAGGCTCATTCCGTGTTTGTGTTTTGAGCTGGAGGAGGAGGCAGATGTGGAGTCGCGGGTCTTGTGATGGGCAGGGTGGTGACAGAGCCTGTCCCCTCCATGGGGACCCCAAGGCTGCACAAAGACGGGGGGCTGGCCTGGCCCAGCCTCTCTGATGTGCCTGGTCCTCACCCGCCCCCATTGAGCGTGAGCCTCAATGGCTGGAACCTTGTAGCTGTGGGGGGCAGACCGGCCCCCAGCCGTTTTCTGCTTGGGTTCCCCACAGACGGGTTATTTTTATGGAAATATCTTGCTGCAAGTGGAAAAAGGCCTGCGGCCTATTAACCAACGGAAAACTCCAAGGAAACCTCTGTCTGCCTCTGCCAGCAGTAAATCCTAAACGCGAGATTGACAGTTCATAGCTGTCTTGAGCTTTAACTACTGTTCCAGAATGTTGCTGCTGCAGAAAGTCTTCATGGAGTCAGCCAGCCGCCGTGCGCCGCTCCTGCGCCGTAGACGGCCGGGAGACGGCCGGGAGATGATGGCCGGGAGAGGGCCAGGGCAAGGTTGCTTGTTTCTGTTTGTGTTTTTGAGAAAAAAGAAAAGGAAAATTATGCAGAATCTGAGGCATTCAAATTGGACAACCTGCTTGTATTCTGATCAGTTGCTTCCATTGTTAGCGTTTTGCACATGACCGTGATTTCTATGTCAAAAGAAGCCAAAACTTGCAATACTATTTTTAGCAGACAAAAAAACAACACCTAAGTATAAATGTATACATATTTTTGACTTGAACATTTGGATGGCACTTGATACAAATAGAACATTAATCCTTTGGGCGGAATGTTTGGAAAAAAGAGACTTTAAAAAAGGGGACGGTTGTTGGTTTTCGGTTTTTTTTTTTTTTTTTTTTTTTGGAAGCGTCTGTTAGGGGTTAAAGTAGTACTGTAACTCATGACTGTTAATAAATACATAAAACGAAATAAACTTGTGTGCTGTCAGGAAGGTTCCACAGGTACCACTGAGCTAGGTTTCAACCACAAAAGATGCTTCCTGCCTGTTTTAGGAGGACCCTTGGTTTTGTTCTCCGGGCCGCCGTCCTCCGCTTCTGTTCCTGCTGTTACTTGGTAGAGTGAAGACTGTTACTTTCTAGCCATGGCTGACCTTGTATCAATAACTAAAACAACAGAGACATCCAAAAACATCGCAAACCTGGGCTCCAGTGTGCACCCAGAGTGTCTGAGCTGGAACTCCATCACCCACAAAAAAGGATGTGATCATTCATTGTAAAGCGCTTTGTAAAATTCACATTTACAAGATAATAAAGTCAGTTCAAACCGAAGTTCCTGGACTTTGTTTGGCCAGTGGGGTTTGGGGAGCCCGGGGAGGGGGGGGACATGGAGAAGCCAGGGTGGGTTGGGCTGTCAGGAGCTGGGGGACTAATTGTCCTGGGATTCCACTGATGGGGGTCTCGAGGACCCAGTGCCCTGGAGCCCATCTGGCTGTCGGGTGGGATGTGGGCCACCTGCCCCATGAACCGCCCCGCCCCCACAGTGCCTGTGGGATTTCCAGGTCCCTGTCAGACCCGTCCCGATCTCTCAGGTGGTCTTGGCGGGGCGGGGGGCGGGGGTGCTGTCTTTCTCCGGGCCTCGGGGTTCCTGTTTTATTTTTTGCTATTTATAAGTCGGAATCGACTTGACGGCAGCAGGTTCTAAGCACTGACAGTTCTCTGGGCCTCAGCGTCATAGTCTGAAAAGCGGGCAGCTGAGGGCAGCGGTGGTTCAGTGGTACAATGTTCACCTTCCACGCGGAGACGCAGGCGGACCAGTGCACCTCAGGCACGGCTGCCAGCGTCTGGCAGTGGACGCTGCGTGTTGCTGCGGTGCTGAGCAGGTTTCAGCAGAGCTCCCAGACTAAGACAGACTAGGAAGAAAGGCCTGGCGATCTACTTTGGAAAATCAGCCAGTGAAAACCCTGTGGATCACAACAGTCAGATCAGCAGC